CATTGGAATAATATCGATATATAATCTATCCATTTATTAGAAAAAAATCGAAAAGTAAACATAACGAAAACTTGACATTTTCAAATGATCAAAAGTTATGCTGTCAAATTTTTTTATTATTTACCTCTCTTGTTAAATTTTTTCAACCCCCTTATGATTTCTATGTACTTGTTTCTATTGTCGCTCGACTGTTTCGCTTAGCACAACTCAACGCAATTTACAAAACTAGATTATCTATCACGATTTGGATGGTATGTGGGGTTTTGAATTTTTTTTATTCCAAAAACCAAATCGGTGTTTACATTGTCGTGGTGCCACGGCCGAGATCATACGTGAGGCGTGAACGTACGCGCGTGAGCCGACGCTACGGCCCATTCCTAATACCGCTGTATATAATAATCAAACATGGTTTGATTTTTATATATGTATACGCCTCATGTCTCACACTTACATCTGATTTCGGCCGTGATTCCATGACAATGTAAACACCGCTTAAATTCTTAACAAAAGCTGTATTTTAAAGTCCAATAAATTGAAGAGATTTTTTTGTCGTTAGAAAAAGTTGTACTTGTCAAGCACAACCTGATACAACTTTAAAAAATTCGTAAATATCAAATTTCTGTTTTACCTGTTCTCTTATGATTGATTTTTTTTATCATCATCTTGAATTACAGCTATTGTTTTTTTGTGTTCTGTTATCAGCACAATATACTATGTACAACTCGTAGAAATATAATAAATTGTATTATAACTATGTTTGTTTATTACTATTATATTTATTTTTCGATTTTTTTATAGTAATGGATATAGATATATCGATGTTTCTTCAACGCCGTAACATGGCTCAGATTAGCATCTTTTTACTACAAAAAATTGAGCTTAATCAAGAAAATAGTACGGTGCTAAAATTTTATATCTTTCAATTTTTTATATTATAATTCGAGGTATTATTTTGGTATTTGTGGCAAAAATTAGCAAAATTACAGTCAAATGCAGCACAGTTAACAAAAAAAACTCTAAATTCAACAAGTGCGCGGCTAACAAAGATTTTGTATTTTGTTATTTTTAAAAATATGCGCTTAGCTGTCAAGATGAGGTTTGCCACAAAATAGCAAAAAATGTAGGGAAGATCGGGGCAAAGTTGTCACTATTTTTTCGGTGCCGATTTCTAACAAAAAAAAAACAAATAATTTAGTAAAATCTGGTATACCCCAAAATTTATAAGAGAATTTTTTTATCTTCG